CTGTACAAGTCATCATAACTTGCTTTTAGTAGCAAAGAACTGTAGGAAAAAATTTAATATGCTACTGTAGGTGCTTGCTTTTCATAATATTTGTCTAACTAGCACAGATAGATGGATATATTCACTGTAACACACCAAGGGTAACCCAGGCAGGCCATAATGCACACAGGACCAACAGCTTAAATGTCTCATCCAAAAGACGGTGCACATGCCGGGGGGGAAGATATGATATCTGTCTCTTATACACATCTATTGTCACGGTTCAGCTCACGCACAATGGCTATTTTCAGTTTAGCCGACTGAGCTAAGCTGGTCCCTAACCACACCTCAGCTGACTGAGCTAAGCTGCTCCCTAACCACACCTCCTTTTCCACCCCCACTGATATCAACTGTTTCCTGTTTTCCAATGCATGTACATTATCTGTGTTATGACTCAAAGGAAGCTGTTAATATTTACTTGATTTTTCTTCAAGGTCTCCAACTCACAATAAAAAAAAAAATAAAAATTAGATTAACTAAAATGGATTCTTTAAAAAAGGTTCTGTAATATATCAATAATAAACTCCATGCAAGAAAGATCAATTATAAATTCACTAAACCTTTTTTACTGTGATTGAGTGATTGATTGATTTATTGATTAATAAGGAATAAAAAAGTCGTTTGTGAGGAAATGCTGGTACTGTACTTGAAATGGGATGTGGAGTACAGTAGGGGTAGGTTTATATGCATTGGTTAATTCATGAACAGATTGATCACAGATGGATAGGTACAGTAGATGGATGGATGGAGGATAAATATAATAGTTTCGTCCTCTGGGGTCACACATCAGAGCAACAAATAATGTACAGCAACAAAATAAAAACATGGGGTAATGTGAATATATCAATATTATTTTATTATATTATTAAATTTTTAGACACTGATGCTGGTTTTGGGATGGCAAGCCTCAACTACTGTATTCATAAAATTGATGTTCACAAAACAGTTTGATATTCAATATAGTATTCATTCAAAATGTCATACCTGAAGAACATATACACATCATATGCACTTCTACAGTATTGTAGTTTGTACATTTTATCAAAGAGTATAATAAAACAAGATAGTGTACACCTGCTTGTAAATACAATGCTCCCTAGTGTAGGATACCCAATGTCCTTTGTTTGGACTATATTATCCAGTTCTGCACTACACACGATTTGTTTGTCTGATTTTCACATGATACAATATACTTTAGTACAGTGCAGTAGGTTTCCTTATTTTTCTTTACCATCATACCATCGTGTGCAGTGCAGTACCAGGTCATAGAGTGCATACAAGCGGCAGCAGGCATCCTACTCTGCCTGCATATTGCATATCGTTTTTTACGCTCTGAATGACTAGTTGGATGCTTTTTTTTATTTATACATTTTGATTTTATCAAATAAATTACCTAAAGGTAACGATGAAATTTGCATGAAAATGTCCAGCATACGGTTGCCATCAACGTCCACGACATAGTTGCCTCGACTTGATGCAAGGTCAACAACAAACTGCACATGTTTAATATTCTAAAAAAGCAAGAAAAACAATCCTACTCAACATTCAGTGCATTTATTTGTACTTGCTACAATTTTTTCAACAAGAATGTATTTCCTTTTTTTTTTTTTTTCAATTTTTAAATGTATATATTGGAGCGTGGCCGGTGGAACCGGGGGGCTGGGGACCCCTTTTTGGTAGAAAATATATAATGTCTATGCAGATTTTTGTATGATTGGAAAGAAATGCTAGTGGGACACCCTGCCCCCCCCCACTTTTTTAAAATGTTCCACTGGCCCTGGGGAATAGACAAGTGGGACAGAGTTAGATTACAATATAAGATTTTGTGTGAATACAACTTTTTTTGGCCCACAGAATCATGCATTTGATTCCATTTTCGTTTGATATCAAAGTCGATAGGGGCATCATGGTTTCAGTCATCTCAGAAGTAACTAACATTTTTATTTTTAGTAAACTTCTCACAAATGCAAAAGTACAAAAGTGAAGGAGATGAGCCAACAGGTGACGAACACCTCTACAAGGGCTCACTCCTTACAATATAAATACAACAATAGAAACAGGAAATAAAAAAAGATAGCACAAACACGAAGACAATAAAGGAATAAGAAAAATCATTAAAAAAATAGAATTGCCACAATTAATATAAAAAGTCATTTAGATAGAAATTGCCAAAGTAAATTTCAAACATAGAAATATGTAGAATATATTTTTAAAAAAAAGCGATGTAAATAAAAAAAGATGAAAAAAAGAATAAACCAATAAGGCAAAATAAAAAAAATAAAGTATGATAATATAGCAAATTAAAAATAGCCACAGGTAAACATAAAACAAGTTCAAATGGAAGATAATTTGGTAATTTCTGTTTTGCCATCAGTTTCACTTCTGTGTTTTGATATCTGATCTCCTGGGATTTATCAATCTCAGCTTGGCAAATGTTTTAAGTCAAAAAAGTTAAAATGTCTCTAAACAAATATCTTGCTGATTTACCAAACCATCTTAGCAAAATCTTAGCTTAAAAATCGTCTTAGATTGCGCATATGTAGAATCGACTTTTTAAGTTAAGCAATATTGATAAATCTGACTTGAGTAAAAAAAAAATGAATTTAAGACGAATTTAAGCCGATTTCTAGTTTGGTAAATCCGGCCTCTGATCTCCAGGGAATTTATGTAACGTGTTAGCAATCTGACTGCTTTCACATGTAAATGGTTCATTGCTGGCTACGTTGTCTGAGAGTTTTGAAGATTCATTAGTATTCTATGGTACATTCTCTGAGAATGATTCATAATATTGTCACATTACTGTATGATATGTATACTGTATGTATTGCAATGTGTTTGCCTTCACAATGTGTGCCGCCTTTTCTTGTCTTGCAGTGAAAATGCAAATATTTTCGAAAAGTTGTGTCTACTGATAGTACTGATATAAACTGACTGAGAATCTGATTAAAAGTGGCAGATTTGTTGACCCACTTTCACTGACTGACCAGCTGACAGACTGTCACACTGATAACAATGACTGCCAGACTGACACTAACTGATAGTGACTCACTGATTCTGACTGACTGACTGAGTTAACCAGACTGACTGGGTCTGATGGACTCTTACTGACTCAAACTGATTTTTCTTTTTGTCACACAATTAAGTGTCACTGAAGATGCAATAATTTGCAATAATAATTTACAGACATTAAATTTAACTTAATTTTAATAACCATGAAATTATTATACTTACTTTGTTGGATTTCTCATATCTTTTCATTAGTTCCTGAAAAAATTAAAACAAAGCAATTAATTTGCATAATGTTTTTCTTTACAAGCATTTAATTTCATAAGGCCCTCAAATAAATCTGGTATTTACTGAGGATACTGGCCTATGCACATGAATAATGTACTGTTGGCACGTAGAGTATAATGCACACAAATCGTTGCTCACATCACGAACTAACACAATCAAAGTAGATTGTGTTAGTTCATGAAATCAAGAAAGCGCGTATTTTGACGCGCTTTCTTGATTTCACAAAATGCCAGATTTATTGTTGTTGTTAAGACTTTTTGTGTGGTAACGAATACAAAATTGCTTGACAACCAATACGCGCTCGTTTTGACGCGCTACTGTAATTTCACGAACTAAATACAATCTACTTTGATTGTGTTAGTTTGTGATGTCAGCGACGAACTATTCTAATCAACAATTTAAATGGATGCAGATGCAGTACCTATACACACATTGTTTTCAAGCAGTAGTGTCAAAGGTCAAATGACAATTGTGTTTATGTAATCTAGGGTAAAAGATATGATATTGGCCTGCAATTTGATCCACAATCTGTACACTAGAGTGAACAGTTACACAAGTCTGTGCTTTAAGGGTTATGACACTGCCATGGTTGAGTCATTACCTGTTAATATAATCGTGAACTTTGATAAAATGTCGTGATTTTAATTGCGAAGCAGCCAATTCATATTCTTGACAACAATTTGACCTCTGAAAGGTCATTGTTTGTCAAAAAAACGAGTGCCTAAGACGACTGAAAAGCGGAGTTTCCTTCTTTCGTTCTGCCGGGTAAAATCAATTACTTTAGGCGACGTTTGTAGACTAACCTACTCGTACCAACGTCTACATGTCGCGCCTTATCCTACTCTAGGCCTAGACTAGCTAGGATGGTATAGGCCTAGCCTTGAAGACGAAGGTCCCAATAAAAAACGTCGTCGCTCTTCGATAGCTAACATTGTCTATTTAACATCACAATAATTCATTATTAGACCTATAGTTG